AGGTCGTCGACAAGGTCACTCTTGACCAGGTCTACGGTGGTGCCCGTGGCATCAAGGCCCTCGTCTGGGAGGGTTCCGTTCTCGACTCTGAGGAGGGTATCCGATTCCGTGGCAAGACCATCCCCGAGTGCCAGGAGCTTCTCCCCAAGGCTCCCGGTGGCAAGGAGCCTCTTCCCGAGGGTGAGTTTAGCCCATTCGCAGTGATGCGCACAAAACCTCACAATATCATGAATACTGACATTAAACCGCGCAGGTCTCTTCTGGCTTCTCTTGACCGGCGAGGTTCCTACTGAGCAGCAGGTCCGCGACCTCTCCGCTGAGTGGGCCGCCCGCTCCGATCTTCCCAAGTTCGTCGAGGAGCTCATCGACCACTGCCCTACCGACCTTCACCCCATGGCCCAGTTCTCTCTGGCTGTCACCGCTCTCGAGCATACCTCCAGCTTCGCCAAGGCTTATGCCAAGGGTATCAACAAGAAGGAGTACTGGGGTTACACTTTCGAGGACTCCATGGACCTCATTGCTAAGCTCCCCAACATTGCTTCTCGCATCTACCAGAACGTCTTCAAGGGCGGAAAGGTCGCTCCCATCCAGAAGGACAAGGATTACTCCTACAACTTCGCCAACCAGCTCGGCTTCGCCGACAACGCCGACTTCGTCGAGCTCATGCGTCTTTACCTCACCATCCACACTGATCACGAGGGTGGTAACGTCTCTGCCCACACCACTCACCTTGTCGGCAGTGCTCTCAGCTCTCCTTTCCTCTCTTTGGCCGCTGGTCTCAACGGTCTCGCTGGTCCCCTCCACGGTCTTGCTAACCAGGAGGTCCTGAACTGGCTCACTGAGTTCAAGAAGTCTGTCGGTGACGATCTCAGCGACAAGGCCATCACTGACTACCTCTGGTCCACCCTCAACGCTGGCCGTGTCGTCCCCGGTTACGGCCACGCCGTCCTCCGAAAGACTGACCCTCGTTACATGGCTCAGCGTGCTTTCGCCCAGGAGAAGATGCCCAACGACCCCATGTTCAAGCTCGTCTCCCAGGTCTACAAGATCGCTCCTGGTGTCCTCACCGAGCACGGCAAGACCAAGAACCCTTACCCTAACGTCGATGCCCACTCCGGTGTCCTTCTCCAGTACTACGGTCTTACCGAGGCCAACTACTACACCGTCCTCTTTGGTGTCTCTCGCGCCATTGGTGTTCTTCCCCAGCTTATCATCGACCGCGCTCTCGGTGCCCCCATTGAGCGACCCAAGTCCTTCTCCACTGACAAGTGGGCCGAGCTTGTCAAGAAGTTGTAAGGAGTTTAAAAATGGAAGGGAAAAAGGAGATGGGAGGACAATGCTCAGACGATGGGCAGAATGGATTGCCAAGTACATGGCATTTGTACAACACAATGGGACTGTTTTAGTTTAGTAATGAGCAAGTCGTCGCGGCGCGCCGATTGAAATGAAATGATTCAACAGTTAATCTGCAATTTTCGTGTTTACAGACTGATACAAATTCATGACTACGATCGAACTCTTTACACATACGATTGAGCCAACTGTGTGTTGCCATACAGCATATTAACTCGCCGTGATAGCGTCGTTATCTCGAACTTTTTTTTGTCTTTGGTGGAGACGGGAATGTTGACCCCATAAAAAGTTCCTTACATTAAGGTAGCCAGCCTTGCAAGCCGGGATAACTCACCAGTAGAATGCCCATGCTTCTGGTTCAAACTTTCAAGGAGACTCGAGAATTGTTGAATTCTCTCTCCCGTCTGCACAAAAAACCCTGCATCGTAAATGTGACAAGTGAATAATATGTACGTCACGTAGTCTCGGTGAGAGATTACACCGACAAAATCCCATGTGGGATCCATCCATATCAGGGACTCGAGCTCTCAACAGTCTAGACATTCCTTCAATCGGTTGGGTGGAGGAGGGGCGTTGAGAGCTCCAGGCCCCTCTAATTCGGCGCCACAGGGGGACGAAAATAGAGGTGAGAGCTTTGATCTTCGGGGGGTGGCTGAGGTTATTGCCCGATGTGGAAGTAAGAGAGCTACGAAGCTGCTGGATTGATTGTTGAAGATGTATGTTTCAAGGTGTAGTGAATTGTTTGCAGTTTGTGAGCGATAGTGAACTAGGTTAGCTGTGAGTTGTTGGGGTCTACCTTAGACTTGAGAGCTTATGAAAACTGTGCTCAGCAGTTGTAAGCAATCTGGATCTTTTGGTGTGAGTAAAAATACGGAGAGCTTCAGGAGTGGGTGGGCTTGGTCAGTCTTATGAATGAAGAAGATGAACACAAAGAAGAATCTAGAAAATCACTATCACAAGCAAATCTGCTCCCGCGGGATCTCTCTGTCGGCCATTGAACCCCAGACCATCCACCCCGGATTCCGATTTCACATGAGAGATCCAATCCAGTCCACGGGAGCTGATCTGATCTCGGTGACTTGATCTCGGCGATCCGAGACTTTCGGAGCTGGAATCAAGTCGTACAAGGAAGAGAAGTCTCCGAAGAGGGTCAATTGATTATTCGGAGAAAGGTCAGCATTATAAAAAAAAATTACTCTAGATGATACTTGATTGCATTTGCTTCCTTTTTTCTCGTTGTTTTCTAAGTATAGTGTTGTGGCTCTCAGCACGTTGAATAGCGTCGTCAGCCTTATAAACGTGCCAACATGAGTAAGTCCAGTGGCTTCACCCAAAATAGGCGAGAAACACACACCGAAACACATGCAAAACATGACTGATTGACTGAGGTGCTCTCTAAGCTCGGGTCTTCTCGCGCATGCCAATCTCCATTTACAGCTTCAACCTCGGCGATTGACCTCCGCAACCGTAGGAAAACTCCATCTATTGTTGGTATTTCCCCTCCGATAAATCGGCTACTTCTCCGGGCCCCCCCAAGCTTATTCTGCTTGGCCTCAGCTCAGCGCTTTTGCTGCCATCCATTCAACTGTTTTCATTGGATCTGACTCAGCATTTGAGTGTGCTTCAGTACCGGTACGTACCGATAGTCCCTCAATCCCTAAGGTACCTAGCTCTCCCGGGTACTGCTCCTTCCCCCCCACGTAAACCAGTCCCAGCACAGCACACGCCTCTAGCTCTCCCTTTTCCCTTTCTTTCCCGAATTCTTGTACACTTCTTTTCTTCCTCCTTCATCAACCTCTCTCAATACTTCAACAATCCCCCCATCTTCCCCAGCGACGAAGCACCCTAATCCCTTGGTCAGGGCCCTTATTCTACGACACTCCCAAAGTCATGGCTGCTACTATCCGTACCGATCTTCCAGCTCCCATTGGGGACAAGCACTTGGAGAAGAAGCCCATCAAGTTTTCCAACTTGCTTCTCGGCGCTGGTCTCAACCTCTTCGAAGTGACCACCCTCGGACAGCCTCTTGAGGTCGTCAAGACCACCATGGCTGCCAACCGAGGTGACAGCATGGCTGCGGCTTTGGGACGCGTCTGGGCCCGTGGTGGTCCCCTAGGCTGTAAGTTGATAACAACGAACTCGCTACACTCATGACTGTTTACTGACTCACATTTTACAGTCTACCAAGGTCTCATTCCCTGGGCCTGGATTGAAGCTTCCAGCAAGGGCGCCGTCCTTCTCTTCGTCGCCTCCGAGGCCGAGTACTACGCCCGTGTCGCTGGTGCCTCTGAGTTTGGCGGTGGTATCATTGGTGGTGTCACCGGTGGTGTTGCCCAGGCTTACGCCACTATGGGTTTCTGCACCTGCATGAAGACGGTCGAGATCACCAAGCACAAGATGGCTGCCACCGGTGTCAAGCCCCAGTCTACCTTCCAGACCTTTGCTGAGATCTACCGCAAGGAGGGCATCCGTGGAATTAACAAGGGTGTCAACGCTGTCGCTATCCGACAGATGACTAACTGGGGTAGCCGATTCGGTCTCAGCCGTCTCGCTGAGGGTTGGATTAAGTCCTTGACTGGCAAGAAGGAGGGCGAGAAGCTGTCTGCTGGTGAGAAGGTCATCGCCAGTGCTCTTGGTGGTGGTCTCAGTGCCTGGAACCAGCCCATTGAGGTCATCCGCGTTGAGATGCAGAGCAAGAAGGAGGATCCCAACCGTCCCAAGAAGATGACGGTTGGCAACACCTTCAGGTACATTTACGAGACCAACGGCGTCAGGGGTCTTTACCGTGGTATCGCTCCCCGTATTTCTCTTGGTATTTGGCAGACTGTCTGCATGGTTGCTTTTGGCGATATGTACGTTTCACCCACTTTCCCAAGATTTAACCGATACTAACCGCATGACTCTAGGGCGAAGACTTATGTTGAGAAGCTGACCGGCGAGTCGGTCACCGCTAAGCATTAGAAGGCGTTTAGGAATCTGGTTTGAAAATATCGCTCATGGTGAGCTTGATGTATGGATTGTCTAATGTTTGGATTCGAATAGTTCTGATGTAATGACATAAGCCTGTGAAAAGGCTGTGACAAAGGAGGTGCTCTCGCCTTGAAGATTATCTTTCTATGATAGTAAGCTGTGCAAAGTCATGGACCCCGTGGGTTTGACTTGAATAGAGAAAAGAATTGCGCAATGTTTGATTATCACTAGTGTTGACCTTCGTTCTGAGTCTACGGTTCAAAAGACTGCAGGCAACTCAGACAATTTCAGTAAGAATACCCTTATATCACCAGCCTCTCTACAATTGTTATGATTACCTGCTATCATGAAGCCGCCATGATATTGTTGAGCTTAAACCTATGAGCTGGGGTTGTTTGAGGTCTGAGCGTTGAGTAGTGGGGTTGCCAGTTGAGAACAAATCTCGCCAATCTCAGTTCTTGAACCTTTGACTATAGGATGAAGCATAATAACTGCAACCTGGAATTAAAACAGCCTGAAGTGTCACATATACTTCCTAATTTTACTTTTATAGGGCTGTAGATCGGTACATAACAACACTAAGAATGTTAAACGTAGAATATGTTGTTGTTGGTCTAATTAACGACTAAGTACTGCATATAGGACCCCAAGATGCTGTTTAATCGCTTGCACTTTCGCTAATCACCCTCATCAAAGCCCATGGTTTCTTCATATGTGAAACCCCAATCCTCCTCAATGTTTAGCAACGTAGCGGATTTGACAAGTTCTTTCACTTCACTATCTTTTAAATGATTCACATCCAAGTCCTTGCTCGCATTTTGAACATGGATGCTATGAAGACGCTCATCTGGTGGTGAAGGGGTTCTAAGCCGACGCACTGAACGGCGTCTTTGACCGAGACTAGCAGCCTCGCTATCCTTTTGTCGTCGCTCGAAATGAGCCAGGAGAGGTGCTGAGGGGTCTTCATCATAGTGGGCTTCTCGGCGGTAGAGGTTGGTGGATTGGTAGCGGGGGCCTTGTACAACCCCTATAACTGGATTTGATGTAAGCTTTAGACAATGGCTGTCTAAATATGTTCGTCTCGAGTAATCAGCGATATCTGCGCCTGAAAGCTCATCATCAGTGAGCATATCATCGTCCTCCCAAGCCGAGGCGGGTGGAGCCGGTTCCGGGTGTGGAATTAGGGGTACAGGCCGGCGCCGGCGCTGAGTGGTGCCCGGAAGTGTTGTTATATGCGACTCTGGGATATCCCGCTCATCGGTTGATAAGATGAAGCAACGGCCTGTGGCATCGCCAATGGCAAGCTTGGAGTTGTCCGGAGAGAAACCGCCCCAAGCGATCGGTCCAGGGGCTGTGAGAATATCACGGACAAAGGGGTTCTTCAGCTTACGGACATTCCAGACCTTCACGACACCGTCACTCGACCCAGTGTAGAATCGATCAAGACTGGTATTCCAAGCCGTGAACTTCGCGCCCGTGTCTTCCTTCTCGCGATCGCCGTAATATTCTTCAATGGGTTTTCCATGTCGCAAGGTGTGGATGGGCTTGTCGCCCTGTGCTGTATCCCATATGTAAACCTTTCCATCAGTGCACGCCGCAGTCACGTAAGCGTGTCCAGGTGAGTTGGGCACGATCGTCAGCTCGTTAATGTCAGACGCATAGCAGTCGAGAGCCTGATGCTGACAAAAGCCAATACCATTCAAGCGATCCTTATCGCGATGAAAGACGTGGACTTGTGTCCTAACATTGCGGGGAACGTTGTTCATCCCCGTGGGCGTTACCCCTACCAGAAAAAGGAGTAATGTTGGATGCCAGGCGACTTCGAAGACGTTAGCCGTTGAAGCTGTCATCACAGGGATCCTGACACCCTGTTCCGCATCCCAGAGGATGATCTCTCCCGAACTCCTCTTGTCCTCGGGAATATCCAGGTCGTCACCTGTCAAGCTGCGAGGAGAATACCCAACAAGAAGCAAATGCTGACAGCCCTTAGCTCGTCCCCACTGCATCGTTGCTGGGAAGTATGCCCACTTATCTGAGCCATCAGCATCAGTTCGTGAGCATGAGAACGTCTGGTAAGTACTGTTCGGCTCATTTCCTTTTGTAATGGTGTAGATACGCACGGCGTCGGTTGGTGAATCTGCAGCCGTAGCCACACGACCAGATCCATCCTTTGCAGCAGCCACAAAGTTAACATTACCTGTGTGTTGCCATGTTGCGATGGCTTTCATGTGTTCTCCTTTCGGGTCAACCTTCCACACTTTGACTGTCTTATCAAAACTCGACGTATACGCCAAGTCATCTTCAACGCTGTAGTCGCATGACACAACCGATGAGTACAGCCAAGGGTCCTGGCTCTGGCGCATGGCCTCTGTAGAGTTCTCCCCCTTTTCGACCCGTGGACGAGGTATTCGGTGATCGGGGAAGGACCGCAGCGTCCCCTTTGCAGTTGAACAAAGAAGCAAGTTTCCAGGCCTGTTGTACTGTTGGTTATGCGTATCGGAGTGTGTAGTAGTGCCACATAGAAAGCTCTCTCGAGAGACCCATGCACCTGTGGTGATATCACCAGCGCAATTGGTGAACTCAGCTACGACCTGAAGATCGTCCTCGCGCAATCTCTTAAATTCGGCCTCGAAGTTCAAATATTCCCGAGTTCGTTGAAAGCCCTGGTTGCCTTCTATTTCTCGAGCCATCAGTAAAGATGAAAGCCTGCTAGTCCTTCTCATTTGACCTTGTCGCTTTTTTGTCTCCTCCGTAACATGCTCAGCAGTGAACGAAAGGACTCGTGGTGTCTCTGCGACCTTTCCTGCCCACAAGTCCGAAGCAAAAGCGCTCATGTCTCGTATGGTTCGTCCAGGTATCGGTACCAGAGGGCCATTTCGTAGTCGGATCTGCTCCATCATAGATTCGCGGGTTGCCGGTATGTGCTTGTTTTCACTATGTGATATTTGGTCTATAATCTCGGCGATCTCCTCAGGGCTGAAGTCCACATGATAGACAATAGGCTGTGCGATAAGTTCATTGTCAACTACCACTGGCTTCTTTGTTCCCTCTTCAATAGCTTGGCGATGCGCTGCCGAAAGGTAGGGTCGTTCGGAAACCTGGTAGTATCGGTTACGGGGCTTCGGTTCCCGTCGCTCCCGAGGTTTATAAGGTCTCCTTTCAACATATTGCGGAAGCTCTGGTTCAATTGAGGGTTGTGGCGTGGGCGCGTCGTAGAATACGCGAGAGTCCCGGTCTTCGGACTTTCTCGTTGCTTCAATGTTCACGATTGTCGGCGGTGTTTGGCCTTGCGGCTGAGGTTTCGGCGCTGACCTCGGTGGCGGTAGAACTCGAGGCTCTGGTGTTTCTGAAGATAGGGGGGATATACGAAACTCCTTGCAAATGTTAGCAACAAGCTCCAGCCGAGGCTTCGTCACACCCACAGAACCCCCCGCCAGACCCCTAACAACATCATGCGCCTGGATCGCAAGCACGTCTAGGTCCTGCTGACTCAAGTAGCCACCTGTCTCGTCCCATCTTCTCCTGAAGAACTTGCTGATACTGAGTTCCGTCACCGTCTAGACCCCTAGTTAGCCACAGAGCCCTCCAACATATAGCCTTCTATGTTACCTTGATAGCCAGGGCGTTAACATGGTAAACATCCCTTGAGAGATGTCCAACAGCCCTCTCTACAAGCGGCGTAACCTGGCTTAAGAGACACTCCTTAACGCCTCGCTTTCTCTGTAGGCCTGTACTAACGCGTCTCCGTTTCGGAGGTGGTTCATCGCAGGGGACTGGCAGGCTATTTAGTATGGGTATAGGTGCATGCGGCATGCCGCCATGCTTGACGAGTGACCTTGTAATTGTTTTTGTTAGCCCTGAACCCATCAGGAAACGCGTCGAGGATTTAAATAAGAAGGAAAAAAGGCCAGAAATATGACGTTCAACGCGTAAAGGACGTGAATCACTTACTTCATAGTCCCATTTAGCGTTGATGCGGTGATAAGGTGGGTTAAAGCATTAGAAGAGTGGCTAGTAAGCTTAGAGAAGGAGAAACTATTAACCCGGGTTCCTTTTAATTATTAAGTTAAAATAATCAATAAATATTAAGTCATAAATTTATTAATGTATAAATTAACTTACTTATAGTATTAGTTTTATTTAAAGACTTTTTAAGGCCTTAAGGCTTATAAAAATATTAATTTATAAAAACAAAATAAAATAATTCTAACTATTTATAAAATAAATATCAAAAACATTAGCTATATAACACTCTCAAAGTAACTATTAACTAAAAACATCTTTAAGAAGTAAAAGAGTATTAATCAATAAGTAGCTATATATTGATAGTATACTGTAATATTCATTTACAAGTTCAAGCCGCTCAATATCTTCAACATATATAGAAAATCTGAAATGAGCTCTAACGCCAAGGGAAAACATATTTGAGCTGATAATCACAACATATTTTACAGCTTGTTCTTTCCAACAGGCTCCTGAGCAGCAAGCTCCTCATACATGCGGTCAATGTGCTCCCTATAGGCCTTGGCGGCTTGGGGGCGCTTAAGCTTAAGTCTAGTAACAACGTCAGCACATATACTCCAAACGAGGCAAAATTTTAGAGGGAAAACTTACGTAGGGGTAAATAGACCGTTGTCGATTGTAAAAGGATCAATTTCGAGATGGGCATTGCGCACCTTCTCGAAGCTGTTGAACTTGTGCTTCTTGCCAATACCGTCGAGGACCTTGAGGAACTTGGCTTTCACCTTGGGGTCGTTAGCGGCGACGCGGAGATCGGCGACCTGATTGGGTGCGATGGTTTCCTGGAGAATCTTGCTAGCGAAAGGAGCAAAGTTCTCAACGTCGATACCAAAAATGGCGACCAATGAGGACTGGGTACCGTCACCGTGAACATAGGCGGCGTTGATGAGGTTGGTGCTGCCCATGTAGACGTTCTCAATGCGCTCAGGGGAGATGTACTCGCCCTGAGCAAGCTTGAGAACGTTCTTCTTGCGATCGATGATCTTGAAGCGGCCCATCTTGTCGACCTCGCAGATGTCACCACTGTGGAACCAACCGTCGGCATCGAGGGTCTTCTCGGTCTCTTCGGCGTTCTTGTAGTACTCGCGGAAGATGACGGGACCGCGGAGGAGAAGCTCACCACGAGGGTTAGGCTTGTCATCCACGGTGTAATCAAACTCGGGAACCGACTCGAGGCAGAGTTCCACACAGCACATGGGGCCGCCGATGTTGCCGGTAGTAAAGTCACCGCGTGCCTGGATAGATCCGACAGCATACGTCTCGGTCATGCCAAAGCCCTGAGCGAAGTGGTTCGCGAAAGCGGCGCGCAGGAACTCCTGGACGTCGGGATCAAGCTGGGCACTGCCGCTGACCATGCTATGGACTCTGTCCATGCCCACGGCGGCCTTGACCTTGGGGGTCCAGATTCGGTCGTACAAGAAGTGGGTGTTGGAGGACTTTCCGGGAGGGAGTCGCATGTTGGCCTTCTTGGTGTCAATGACACGTCGTGAGAGAGCGCCTCGGACACCATCGGCTTCAATAGTAGCAGTGCGAATGGCAGAGTTGAAGCGGTTGAAGAGACGAGGAACTGAGATGAAACCAGTGGGCTTGAGTATCTTCATATCATCAACCAAGCCCAGAATGTCACCTCGAAAGAAACCAATGGCAGCGCCCTCAGCAACGGCGATCTGATCGATAAGTCGTCCGTAGATGTGGGCTAGAGGTAGATAGGATAAGTGGACGTCCTTGCTGCTCACATTGCCATTTGTTCGACCACCCGCGATGGCAGAAACGGCGTTCCCGTGGGTGATTAGAACACCCTTGGGGTTGCCAGTTGTACCAGAGGTGTAATTGATAGTGCAGATGTCATTGCGGCTGGGAGCACGAGGGGCACGTCCAGACTTGGCGCCGATCTCCTCAACCTGAGTCATGGAGTAGATCTGGATGCCATGTTGAGAAGCGATCTCATTGAGGACGGAGGCCTTAGTGTGAGAAGCCAATTCACCCTGCTCAAGAGGATCGAGAGAGACGATGAGCTTCAGACCGGGAAGCCGAGGAGACATCTTAAGAAGAACGGGGATGTGGGGGAGGGAGCAGACAACACAGGCGACCTCGGCATGGTTGATGATGTATTCTGTTGTGTCGGGGCCAAGAGTTTCGTAGAGAGATACCGAGTAAAGTGATTGAGAAGCAATACCGAAGTCTAGTAATGAGTGTGTCAGCAACTACAACCACATGCTCAATGTCTCTTATGCAGGTTCACGGCACAAGAGGGGCAACCTTACCGGCGATCTGCCACTCAGCCCTGTTCTGTGACCACAAACCGACACCGTACTGATCAGGAGAATAGTTGATGGCCTTGTGAATCTCAACGAGACCGGCACCGAAATTCTTCCTTCGGACGTCGAAATCACCGTAGCTGATCCAGTCGTACTTGTCCTCCCACTGCTGAGTCGTCTGGTTCCAATGGCGGGTTCCGAGACATCTCGAGTTGGGCCACTTGCGCGCACTCCTCTCCAGGACGTCGTGTGTCGAATTGATACCAGGCTCTAGCGCTGTAACGAGAGGACCATCGCCGACTGCCCAGTGTCTGTAGGCGGCGGTGCGGTTAGGTCGTTCTGTACCGGGTACGGGAATACCGTAGGGTTTTCCGGGGGGAGGGACTGTGGTGAGCCTCTTGAATAGGGCGTCGTAGTCTTTTTGTGTCTGGAGAGCCATGGTGAAGATCGGAGGCGAGGAGTCAAGTTGTCGGAGGGGTTACAGTTCTGACGAGGCGAGGCGAGGCGAGACAAGGACACAAAGACACGGAGCGAGTCGATTGCTGCGGGGAGAGAAGAAGTATGCTCGGAGCTGCTCTGTTACCCAAGCGAGAGAGTGAGTGGGAAGAAGACAATGGGTTGGTTGGTTGAATGCAGGTATTCAGAGGAACACAAGCACCAGGAGCCAGTTGACTGATCCCTTGCAGATAATTTACTGGTAAGGCTTAATCACAGAATGAAAGCAAAAAAGGGAGGGAAGAGGTAGGAATAGAGGAACGAGATTAGGATTGGGGTTTTGAAGAAATAAATTCAGTCCCAAGACTTTCTGGACAAGTTTCCGAGCCTGGCGAACGCCATCAAGTTAAGCGCAAAAGTGGAAGAGCGTAGACCGAGGCGCGTTGCGCAGTCTGGTATGCCATTACGCCCATGTGCCTCGGCAGCCCCAGATTTCGTGGAGTAGCACAGGCCTGTAGCTAGCAGAATATGGGATAGCGGCACTTGGAGAAGACCTGGGGGAGTTAATAAATTCCCCTGATTCATTCATTCCCCCGCGATACATCCATTGATACAATGTCTTTTGAATCCTTGAGGCGCGGGACGTGGCCCTTTTTGAGTCAAGTGAACCGAGGATGTGATTGTAGCACCCACCGTTGAAGCTGCGTATGGGGTTTATTGGAGAGAATGCGGGGGACAGACTCATGATACCCTCTGAATCCTCATTCAGAGCAATACTTTCAGCTCGTCAGCACTTGTGTCTATGGCTTAGAGACACATCAGCAGCCAAGATACACAGCCAAGAACGGGAAGCAGCACAATTTAGTAGGTATCGCCAAACTATACCTGCGTAACACACCAGAATCCATCACTGGTTCTCGTCGTAAGCACCTTGTTGTACCCTCCGATCCAATTCAATGGAAGGCTCGGGCGCCCAATGGACGCTAACTCTCCCGAAGACCTGGAGATCACTGTCGTCAGCTGCAGTTGGTCAGTTTTCACAGACCGGTACGTTCGGGCCCTTTAACTTGTTCTTGCATATTTTCGGTTACATGTGAATATCCATCGATGACAAAAGTGTGGCTGAATATTGGACTGAATTGGCTCTTGGTGTTGCGGGCTGCTGATCTGTCGTTCCTCGTGATCCCAAACATAAGCGTTTCCTATTGGGTGTTATGTATCCTTAACTTGAAGGATTGCTTTGTATCTTGCAACCGTATTCAGTTCTTGGTGTTTCGCCCGACACACTCCTCGAGTCTTCCTACATTTTACCACAAGGAGACTAATCAGTGCCTGCAACTATAAGCGAAGTGTTTGACATCTGGCTCTCTCCAACGTGCCTCATAGTTCTCTCTTCTTGATTGGACTAGCCTGAGCAGCCATGAGTTTCGAACTCTCCAAACTTCAGCTCGCTAAGAATCTCTTTCTTCTCCCATCATCTCTAACCGAGTCTATTTCTATGCTTAAAAACAACCTCGAAACAAAACCTGCTTCACTGCCAACAGGTTCAGCCAACTGACACAGTGACATTCAATCCTCAAAACGACGTCATCACCATCAATCATGGATCACCTTACCTAACACCAACTTTTCGTTCATCAGCGTCAAAGCGGCAAGTGTCGACACGTGCACTTCTTGATGGCACTCACGATATTGGGTGAGTTGGCATAACCCGTGCCGATCACCATCACAATTTCGTCAGAAACATCGTATCTGGCGCCAAAAAGCATGCCATCCATCAATGCTCCCCATCGCGGACGTTGTATTCGGCGCTTGTCGTCTCGACGAAACACAGCCGATAACGATGGATCGAGTGATCTTTTCAAGTCAATTCAAGTTGAATAGCCACATTAACTTAGGACATGGAGCAACAGTATTGCTGCAGCAAAGATATCTGGTCTGGTAATAGTTACCGCGTTCTTAAGCCTCCTTTTCAATGTCCCAAGGATTGGCTGCTTAGGTATACATAAACCCAAGATCTACCGAGATCTACAACAAGCCCGCCTCAAACAACGACACTCGCGGGGTTTCCCTTTTGGAAATTACAGTTGTTTTATCTACATGGAAGTGTCTGATAAGAGAAATGTCCCTTTTATGCGGTGGACGGTGGCGGCCCCTTACCACCATCAAAACGCTACGTTACTCGGCATAAGATACAACGAAGAAGAAAAAGAGGGACTGTTTCATATCGACCTCGACCCTGTCCGTGTCTCAGGCCCCTTTCGCCAAAACACGACCTGATGCAGAGAACCGCCTGGGCTCGACGAGATTGGACGTGTAATCGTCAATGCCTTTAACCTAGAGTTTCGACGATGTCCTAAAAAAAGAAAAAGCTCACACTCTTTTTGAAATTGTTCGGTTTTCTTATTAGTGGCCCCTTGACGGGTCCCACGGTCTCTCTCTCGGGCCATCTCCCTTGGATCGTCCACGCCCCCACATGGTCCCGAGAGAATGTCTCGTCAGCAGGTCTTCGGTTTTATATCTATCGATTCCCACGTTTTCGCCCATCGGGCCTATTCTCACGACGATTCCTGTCTTTTTTCTTTCTCTTATCTTATATTATCGTTGGGGTTGAACTTACTTTGAGCCGTTATCATATATCGCATGAGTTGAACTTGTAATCTTCAACTTTTACTCTCTCTGTGTCTCTCTGCCTGCGCTGTTTCTCGGACCAAACAATATTGCCACCATGAGTCGGGTCGCTTTTCTCTCGCTGCGAGCTCTGCAGCTAGCTTTATCTGTTGCTAGTATCGGCCTGAGCGCGTACGGTACGTTAACGATCTTCATGATGGGCTTCCGTCAGGGAAGTAACTAACACTCTCAGTTGTCAACGATTATAACCAGCGAAGCCGAAACTCAGCACCATCGCCGTTTACCTATCTGATGGTCTCCTCCATATTCTCGATTATTTCGGTCGCCTATCTCTCACTTACTCCTCTATTCGTACCGCGCATCTACCACCAATATGCTGCTGTTGTCGTCGAATCCGTCAACGCCGCTCTGTACTTTGCCGGATTCATCGCCATAGCCGTGTTCATCGGATCGCTTATCATGTGTGAGGGGACTGTTTGCTCTTGCGCTCGTGCCGATGCCGTTGTTGCTGCGGGTCAGTTCACGGCGTGGATCACAACGACTGCTTTCACTGCCAAGGAATTATTTAAGAAGGCTTTTCAAGAACCCAAGAAGGATGACGAGGGTCGAGAAATGGGACAGGCATAGGAGAATGAGCAGACGGTACATGAACACCACATAACAAAAGCCCGGGACTTGGTCCTCGAATGATGGAATTGAATCTCTATTGGAAAGGATAGATGGGTATTAATGACAGGCGTTTGGGCATTTTAGGAAAGACAAAATGGCGGTGCTATGTTGAGTAGCCTGGCTATACTGTCAAAGGAGTATATCGGCATGGGAGACATCATACCCAACCTGAATTTCTGGGCTGGAATGGGAAACTCGGCGTTTTCTGCCTTATAGTTTCGCAGCCTTCTGTAGCAGAGGCTGATAGCGCGTTTGAAATGAAAGTCAAAGAAGCTATTGAGTTGGACTGGCTTCTGATTCATTCACCCAAAACCATTGAGCTATTTCGTTCGGTCGCTCCGGTGTATGTGAAAGTGACGACATGTGATGTGGACGTCAATAGAGCCGAAGACCCCGAGACTCGGATCGAAAGAGGAAGATGTGAAGTCGTACGAGAAACATCATACTTATATAATAGGCTGAGGTAAGGTAGTCGGCATTTATACTAGTCGGCGCCGGGTGAACGGGCCGGTCGGTGGCTTGAAGAGACATGTTTCTCGATCAGTTTTTTGCTTGTGCCACGGTCGAAGAAGAGAATGGGAATGCAGTGCGTGGTAATTGCACCATTAGACCTGGGCTTTGGGTCATGGTGGGGGACATGCAGAGCGAAGGACGATATCATCCGATGTTATATGTTGCGTGGGAGGTGCAATACCACGTTCAGCTGATTGGGCTATACACTTTTGTGAGGTTTACGTTCTCTCTGCAGCAAATGTAAGAAGCTTATCTATTTCCTGGAAACCAATCGAGTTCCTGTCCTCGTATTATATTGTAACATTCATCAACCCCGCATATCATCATCATGACAAGCCCAACTAATTATACAAAATACGTAATTACTTCATCTCCAGCCGAGAAACCAAATCATAAACGGTTCTCGGCGGTTCTCGGTTATTGCACAATTCATACATTTGTAGCTGTCAAACGACGATCAAGCCATTAGCTTTCTCAAACAGTAAAGACAGCTCAAGCAAAAGCGTGGGGAGCTCGATGGCGTGCTACGCGGGGTCCTAGTGAACCATGCCCAAAGAGGCTTGGATACACAAGAATAAGAGCACTTGAAAGTGCATGCTGGATGAGTTGTGAGCGAGTATAAAGGGGAATGGGTTGATCTGTGAATTACTGCTTTTGTTTACTCTTTATTCTCCTGTTGTTCATATAGATTAGATCCTTTGATACGGGAAACGTGATTCATCATGGCTGAGGAACTGAGCAAGAACTTTGAGACACTGCAGCTTCACGCGGGGTACGTACGTTTTATTCATTATTAGCCTCGGTTCCGATGGTGGGCTTTTCGAATGCTACTTGTACAGCTGTAGTTGAGGTCACAAAACTGTTTGGAAGAACTCAACTGACTCGTTTCCTTCAGTGCTGTGGTTGATCCTACCACCAAATCGCGAGCTGTTCCCATCTACGCTACAACCGTATGTTCTCACAAGCCTCTTGACGCTCTCATAGCCTCGCATCATGAATTACTCACTAATGCCGTATTCAGAGTTATGTCTTCGATGACTCTGCTCATGGAGCTAGGCTCTTTGGCCTCAAGGAATTTGGCAACATTTATAGCCGTATCATGAACGTGAGTTCTCAACTCCCAACCCGGCTTGACTCACCACTTACATTACAAGCCAACTGTAGATGTCTTCGAGAAGAGAATAGCGGCTCTTGAAGGCGGTGTCGCAGCCCTTGCTGCCTCGTCAGGCCAGGCTGCCCAGTTCCTCGCCATCAGCACTCTCGCTCAGGCTGGCGACAACATCGTCTCTACTTCTAACCTCTACGGCGGCACTTACAACCAATTCAAGGTCTTCTTCCCTCGTCTGGGCATCAAGACCAAGTTTGTCGATGGTGACAAGCCTGAGGACATCGCGACTGCTATTGACGATAAGACAAAGGCTGTCTACGTTGAGAGTATTGGAAACCCCAAGTACAACATTCCTGATCTGGAGGCTATTTCTAAGGCTGCTCATGAGAAGGGTGTTCCTGTTATTGTGAGTCAACAATAATGTGCTAGACAGTCCACTAGGCTAATGGTTATTGTAGGTCGACAACACCTTTGGTGCTGGTGGTTACTTTATCCGCCCTATCGATCACGGTGCTGATATTGTTGTTCACTCTGCCACAAAGTGGATTGGAGGACATGGAACCACGATCGGCGGTGTCGTCGTTGACTCTGGAAAGTTTGATTGGGGCAAAAACGCTGCTCGATTCCCTCAATTCCACGAGCCTTCTGAGGGATACCACGGTCTCAAGTTCTACGAGACCTTTGGCAACATCACCTTCATCATCCGCGCCCGAGTCGAAATCCTCCGTGATCTCGGTTCCACTCTCAACCCCTTTGCCGCTCAACAGCTTCTCCTCGGCCTGGAGACTCTTAGTCTCCGTGCTGAGCGTCACGCCCAGAACGCCCTCGCCCTTGCTCAATATCTTGAGAAGAGCCCCTATGTCAGCTGGGTTTCATACCCTGGTCTCAAGAGTCACCCGTACCACGAGACGGCTAAGAAGTACCTCAAGAGAGGCTTCGGTGGTGTTCTGAGCTTTGGTGTCAAGGGCGGCGGTGCTGGAAGTGAGGTTGTTGATGGCTTCAAGCTTATTTCCAACTTGGCCAATGTTGGTGATGCTAAGACACTTGCCATTCACCCCTGGAGCACCACTCATGAGCAGCTCTCTGATGACGAGAAGCGCAGCTCCGGTGTCACCGAGGTATGTATTTCTTAGTACTTGATTTGAGTTGGTCTTGCTAACAAAAATAGGACTTGATCCGAATTTCGGTTGGCATCGAGCACATTGACGATATCATTGCCGACTTTGAACAGTCTTTCAAGGCTGCTGCTGATGCTACCACCAATGGCCAGAAGAAGGATATCCCTCAAGGTGACAAGGAGGCTGAAGCTCCTCTTGCCCCTTAGAGAGACGCGGGACTGAGTGTTTGGAAGGGACTGTGATTAGGAATGGCTTGTTGAAATACCCACTAGGAGATTGAAGAGACGAAAAAGCGACAGTGTTCATCATGAAATTGTGTAATACCATTGGCTTGTGAACTTGGCTTAAATAATGACAAGAGAATACCTATAATGCTGGAAATGCCTCCTTGTTGATAGTAGCTTATGGCGATACTATGTCCCTTGTCGTGACTATACTTAGCGCTGCATTCTTCGAGGTCGTAACCTCGCCGCTTCAGTCCAACCTTGCACCCCATCTTCACTAGCCATGGCACGTGCTTGGTCGAGGGTAACGGTTTCGTAAACAGAACTACCCTCTGCATCGTGCGTTTTCTTGTCTATCCCCTCGGCCGCGGTATCAGGCTGACGAGTTCCCTCACTCTTGGATTCATCGTCAGGAGAGATGCTCCGGCCATCGATGCAAGTAGGCTCACTCCACAATCTCAAAGCAAGAACCATGTGAATACCAAGAATGTCTTTCACCTTTCCATCCATCTTAAACACATTGTCAGGCCGAATTGAAAACCCATCCTTGTCGTTGCCGATGATTCCAACCTGCGCGCACAAGATAGCTTTATCAAGGTCATCTCTAGTCCTGATAACCCACTTGGGCATGGGTCTGAATGTATGGATATATCTCTTTGGGACCATGGCGTCCGGCCCATTCTTCTCTATAACCTTCTTTTTCTTCCCGACTACTCGGACGGCTTCCCAACTCTGATAGTGGACGCTCCCGATAGTGCCTTTTATCTCTCTGATCACTGCTGCGGTCCGAAGCGACTCCTCTTGTTGGACGAGAGCGACCGACTTGTCGAGTTCTTCGAGTTCAATGGCGGTTTCTACGAGAGATGGAAAGTCATCTCCAATTTCTGAACGGGCATTCCGAAAGTCCTGAATGAGTTTGCGAGCGTTTTCGAGGAGCTCATTGTGGCTCTTGACTCTTGCGATGAAATGACCACTCTGCCATGACTGGAGGATGAGTCAGTTTAACTCCAGAATGAGCTGAAGAACACTTCGGGTTACCTTTTTGCAGTAATATTCCATTCTTGTTTCCTGCAAACTGAATGAAGAATACAGGATCTAGGTAGATAAGAATTGCCACAGCCTGGTATTTTGGAGGCTGATGTTGTGACTCATGTTCACAACTATGAGATCTACAGTCCCGTGACCACTCCTTCGAGATCCTGTCATTTCAGTCGTCATCCTGAGGCACGGAAACGTATCGAGCTGCGTGCGGTCGCTGTTGATAAATGGGAGTCATTCCTTCGAACAAGGACATGGTAACCAAGCTACCCTGCATGTGTCAAGGTGCAGGAGCCTGTTGGTGTCGAGATGACGCAGCAAACTAGAACTATCAACCACATGATGTTTTTCCTAAAGTTTATCAGACTATTCGAAGAAATAATGTTATATCTTTCTCCACTAAAGCATAAAAGTAAACAGACCTATCTGAGTGATGAGTATGGCAAGGCAAATGTGGAATCCAAGTAGGATGTTTTTCAAAGACGGATCAGGATGAAAAGAAAACAAGATCATCATTTTGAACTCCTGTAAACCGATAAAAAATGAATTTGAGACAACCAATTAGATGTGTTCAAAGATCTCATGCTCCCAGCATCCATCATTCCAAAATACCCAACTGCACCAAGTAAAGGGACAACGCACCGAGAGTAAACAAATGGAATGGAGTAAGTGGCAAGACCTTAGCCTCGCTGCGATAAGGTTGTCGGTAGTTAAAAGAGGATTTTGTGCTCTGGCCAGCTATAAAACTTGACCAAGTTGCTTGTGAGCGGCCGAGCCGTGATAGGCGCGACCATATCAACGTCAGCGTACTATATTGACCAGTGCTAGTATAGACATATGACTTACTTACTATTTGATCTCTCTCGACAGTGCAACAAGTCTGAGAATTATGAGAAATTTCACATTCATCATGAGTTTGCAGATTTTAGAAACACGTATTTTGGCTCCATGAATCTGATATTGATCGCAGGACAAGGATACAAGATGACCCTTTACAGGCAGCAAGGGACAACGTACGGAGAAGGAGTATTCAGCAACAGCCATCAAGAGGATATCACTCGTAAATCAACGAGACGCCTTAATATATGGCACAGCGCCATTGATCTTTCTCTATGAATGGAGGCCCAAAGAGGAGAGATCATGATCGAATACAAGCCGTCAAAGTATGGGCAACTTTCATACTATCAACACCCACAACCTGTATTTTGTGAGGGAACTTTAACTTGATCCCTATCGCCGAGACAGGAGTTGGCCTACTCGTTTGTAAAGTCGTCAATAACGATTAGAGACACATCCACGTCGTGCCACTAGAGATATACTGATCCATTAACTCGAAACGTGGCTTGGGTTAGAAGTTCTTGCTTTCTGCCATTACTACGAACCAATTTTACAGCCTGACAGCTCTAACCCGCATCGTCTTTCTCCCTAGATGTGCAACAACGTCTTGACGAGTTTCTGGATATGTTCATGACTGCGTTCCGAGAAGGTAGTATGTGTGAGATAAGCTGTCATGGATCGTGTTAGTGAGATGCCAAAGAGTGTTGTTACCTATTAGCTTCGACCAACATGCTTGGATGATATCGATGAATGATATGCGGATGTACTATCGAAATTTGAGATTACCGTGTTTTGCAAGATGCAGATTCAACTCGTATATCAAATGCAGGGTCTTGACGGAGAATATGATCCGAAATGTCATCGCAGGATAGGTAGGTCAAGACTCAGTGGTTGGTGGAACATCAGAGAGCGGGGGATCAACACCAGGCGGCCGACCCTTGGGTGTTAGTGGCATATCCCTTTGAATCCGAGGGAGCACCAGCAAAGTATTTTTATAGGGTATATCTAATCAGGAGGCTAATATTAGAGGTACCTATTTTAATAGTATATCTATACCTAGATCTAGGTATCTTTAATAATACAAGCTACAGATCGTGACTTTAGTTTCTGCTGCTGTGCCTCCTTGGGGCTGGTATCTGTGGCGGAAAGATCGGCAGCCAATTAATACTGGGAAATGCCCCACAAAAATACTTTGCTGGTGCTCCCTTGGATTCAAAGGGATGGAGTAAGACAGTCCAGAATAGCTTCAGCCACTTGAATTGAGGAACAAATTGGAGAAATGAACAATGATTACAAAGCCTCAAGAAAAAGAGAGAAAATCAAGCATATTTCTAAGTCTATTTCCTAGCCGGAGTACGGCTCTTTTCAGTGGGAATCATGATCAGTTTGGGTGGTGTATCACTCAAGCTTTCAGCTTCAACCAACCACCATAAAATAGCTGCATGCGGTTGGCTTGGTAATGGCCCAGTCAGCTCTCCCTCATCAACTAGGGGCAGCTGAAACAAAGGTTAAATTCTCTATCCATCTTAGCAACCACACATATAGAGCCTCCTCCTCATTCTTGTCTCCCACACATCTTTCAATCTCAGTTGAAGTAAGATGAACTGCAACGAGCTCCAAGAACACACCAAAGCAGATTGCTTCCTGGTCAAAAAGCCAAGGGCGCTGCAATGGTTCTACAAGGGACAGCTCATCAAGGAGAAAGAGGAGGAACGCCAGGCTGGCCGCTTCGAGCTGTTCCTGGATCTTCTATGTAGGAATCTACGTGCTATCATTCGGGCCCTGACTTACATTCTATAGATGTTGCGATTGTCGCCAACTTCAGCGATGAGCTTGCAGAGCATCCTGATGGTGCTCATCTAGCAAAGTATATACTCATCTTTGCGCCGGCATGGCATATCTGGGCTGATCTCCGCGAGATCATGAACTCGTATTACACCGATGATTTACTGCAACGACTTATTATTCTTTGGGTCATGGCGCTTCTGGTGCTCTATGCGAACAATGCCAACGATGCAGATGAGGATATTACTGCAATGCGGACTACCGTTGGCGCGTACCTCGTAGCCCGCTTCACCACCCTCAACGTATTCCTTGTTACCTCGTTTGCAGCGTATCAGCACCGCACACAGGCCCGGATCATGGCTGGCTTCATGTTTGTCGGTCTTCTTATCACCATTCCGCTCTTCTTTGAGGGCATAAGCATTCGCGCAAAAGCCGCCATCGTCGCCGTGGGCATCTTCTACCAAGAGGCGACATGGGCGCTGACTCTGAGTCCTTGGATCAAGGCCAAGCTACATCTGACTTATAGTACTGCTGTTGACATTGCGCACGAGATTGACCGAATGGGCGCTTTCTTCATCATCATTCTCGGCGAGTTTGTATACAGCATCATTGTTGGCAACAAGACGGGCATTGGTTTGACTTCAGGATACGCCAAGGCTGTCTGCACGCTGATTATTGCGTTCGTGCTGAATTGGGTCTATTCCAGCGGCGATGGCAGTATTCAAGCAACACATCCAATTCGACGATCTGCTTGGACAGCCTTTGGCTTCTTTCTCTTGCATCTACCTCTATCAGCATCGTTTCTCATCGGAGGCCACATCGCAGCTGCGAGCACAGCGGTTGAGGAGTTTGAAGACGGGCAGCGCTGGCTTCTCGGTGGAGGGCTTGGAGTTGGTATGTTTTGTCTTTGGGTTTACGGGATGTTATACCGGGTCGAAGGTGAGTGCACTCTATTCATGGGACAGACGACACGAATCAGCATGAGGTTAATAATTGCGATCATTCTCGTCGTCATCCCCGAGTCGCATAACCATCTCAATGCCGAGAGTTTCATGTTCGTTATCATGGCTCTGTTTGCTTTCCTCTTGATATGGGAGACCGTTGGGGGCTTATCCAGGACTTCCAAATTCTTTGAGCCTTGGACAAACAGAAATCCACCGCCGGAGGAGGATGATAGAGAAGGCTTGGCGGGCGAGTAATGGGATTGTAAGGCACCTTTCGGAAAGAGAATTGGCAGATTGGATCGTGTTCGGATCATGGAGAATGATAGTGGAACCCTTCCGTGCAGGACATTGATCGACTTGAAGCTATAGTGCACCGCCACAGCAAGCGATCGCCACTGTCTGCGTCATTCGTGGCGTATGCTAGCTGCACAGTAATGAAGCTTTCTGGAAGCCGCGGGCTTAATACGATTAATATTGGAATCTGGAGGGAAACGCCGTGAGGGAGCCTATGAAAAGGTTGTCACCTTGCGCAGCACTTGCTCGAGTGACATAACATTAATAACCGTTTAAATTCCGAGGGAGCTAAGCTATTCGAGGATCATCAATGCATACGCAAGCAATTCCAAGATGTGACCTGTAGAACGCACTGTAATTGTAAGTGCAGCTGTAATTTTAGGCCACCTTGGCACATGTCACTTATCTACCCATCTATATCTTTCACTGCTATAGGTTTGGATGCTTCTGAGTCAGTCGCTGGCTACCTACCTTAATGAATAGAAGGCTTGGTCGGAGACCGGACGAGGAAGCCGCGGACATGGTGGCTGTGCTTTCTCTACATGGCAGCTCTTGCACCAATGGCGTCACCTGTGCTTTGTATGTTGGGGGAGGGGCAACCGGGGTTTCGGTGATTGCCCCTCCAGCTCCAGATCCAAACTCATGTTGCTTCTCCAAGTGGCGTTGACGCGAAACATTCAAGGTCACAAGTAGCAGGTGCCAGATTGCCAAGGGAAGTAGGTAATGTGCTTAAATAGTCCCTCGTAGTCTTAGCCTTTAGCCTTAAATTACTTTATCCTTGGCTCTCACTTGATCTCGATATTCGACTTCCCCTCTTTGCCTCGACCTTACTTATTCCTTGTACTACACAACCTACTAGGTGGTACTTATATCCACCTGCTACATCATCGACTCCTGTTAATTCCTCAGACGTCGACCTACCACAAATTTCTCGCACAACATCATCGTTGCACTCTATAACAACATCTTCATCGATCGTGTACTTTTCTAATCCTACTTCGATGGCCGACTTTGCTCCCCCGTCTGGTCCGCCTCCTCCTAAGGCCCCCGAGGTTCCTGCCGGATGGGCCGTGCGATGGAACGATCAATACAAGGAATGGTAAGAACTTCAATTTGTCTACAAGCGCGCGCAGCTTCGCTCACATGCGCACTACAGGTTCTACGTCAACATTTACACAAAACAATCGCAATGGGAAAAGCCCACTGCTCCCGTCTTTCCAGCTGATGATGCCGCACCCGCCGGCCCTCCGCCCGGATACGACCAAGGCAATGCGCCCATCCCTACAGATACCAAGAAGAACCCCTACGAGGACCATCGCGATCAGTCAGCTGGTGGTCCTTCCGAAGATGAAGACGCTAAGCTAGCTGCGAAGCTACAGGCCGAGGAAGACGCCCGCGCTCGAAGTGGTCCTGGTGGTCCAGACGTTCCTGCGGGATACGGAGCATCAAATAGCCCATACCCCCAGAGCAATAGCCCCTACCCTCAACAACAGGGTGGCAGTCCTTATCCCGCAGAACTTCCCCCTAGAGAACGTGGTGCTAAGAGCGGCGGTGGATTCTTGGGCAAGCTGCTCGGCAAGGGAAAGCAGATGGCTGGAGGCCACCAACAAGGCGGTGCCGGTGGTTACGGCGGCTCGCAGGGTGGCTACGGAGGTGGTTATCCTCAACAACAGTACTACGGCCAACAGCCCCAAGGCTATCCTGGCCAAGGTCCTCCAATGGGTTACGGTGCCCAACCTCACTACGGCGGCGGTTATGGCGCGCCGGGAGGTTACGGGGGCTATGGTGGCGCTCCTGGTTACGGAGCTCCTCAAGGCGGTGGCTTTGGTGGTGGTGGCCGTAAACCTGGTGGTGGTGGTATGGGCATGATGGGAGGTGCTGCTCTCGGTGCTGGTGCTGGTCTGCTCGGTGGTGCCATGATCGCAAACTCTTTTGATAACGACGAACAAGACGCCTACCAGGATGGCTTCGGTAAGTTTTGATTTCAATTCTCCTTAAATATAACAGCTCGCTAACGATCTTTGTAGAGGATGGTGCTGATTACGGCGATGATGGTGGTGATTAAAGAGGTCATACGTTCTGCGTGCATTTGCCGGAAAAGGAGTCTCAGTGTGATATTTCCGACTCGAAATTGGGTTTGCTTTGCGATTTTTTGGGCAGGATAGGAATTGGGTATGGAACGAGAACATGATGACAATAGGCTGCGCGTAGTTACGCCGTGACTAGTAGTTAACCAAGGTTCATACCTCCATAACGAACTGATGAGGGAAGGTTCAACGGAATAATGATCATTGCTAAATGCATACAATGCCATATCTCATGATCTGATTCTCTATCGTCCGCTTATGCCTACAGGGTTGTGTATCCATCCAACTTTTGTAGTCATTATATACCCAATAACTGCGCAAAATTTACCGTCTAACGCCCTGGTTCTTAGTGTTGCCGTTACCACCGCTGTTGGCTGGGGCGCTCTCCTTGGGCTTGGAACCAGCGAGATACGCAGCCATGTCGAAGTTGGTAAGAGGATTGTCACCAGATGACTGGCCGGTCATGGCAGCGCTCAGGGGGCTGCTCTTTCGCTGGGCCTCGAACTCGGCGCGCATTTCAGGGTCCACTGAATATTGTTAATATAAGTCTGTTTGTGAGTGTGGATGATTACATACTGCTGTCCATAATCTTCGGCATGCCCACCATGAGAACAAGACTGACGAGAGCCATAAGGATCATGGGGTTCTTGAGGATAGCAAAGACAGAGACTGCTATATGTTAGCGCTGGCCGGTTCACGGAGAATTGCAAAGCGAGACTCACACTGCGGCCTCTCCATAAAGTAGTTCTTTCCCCCAATGGCTCGCAGCTGAAAGCCTCGTCCCTTACTCCCCTCCTTCACCTGCACGACCTCCCCCTTATTCCCCCAGTCATTGCCCCGATACGTCTCCCAAGCCCTCACAATTCCCTCCTCCCCATCCTCAGCAAGCTGAACATCAATCCTCAGCGGATGAAACGCGTCAGTCGGACAGTGAACATCAGCAAGGTACGAGCCAGGCGTGACGTTATGGAAGACAAAAGTGTTGGCTGAGGACAGTGGCGCGGAGAAGTGGACGCCTGCGGAGGAGAGCGTGGCGTGCGTGTTGGCGGGGATGCTGAAGGGGTTGGGGTTGGAGGGGAGATAGAGGGTCAAAGAGTCGGCGAGAGCGAGGGGGAGTAGCGCGAGAAGAGCGCTGGTTTCGAAGGTGAAGCGCATTTTGGGCGGTGGAGGTTGTGAGAGGTGAGGTTAGATAGAGGTTGACGTTGTGACGTTTTTGGTGTTGGAGGAGAGAACAAGTGGGCCAATCAGATGGTGGAGATGTGCGGGTGTGGCTTGGGATGATGCAGCCACAGTTGAGAGCTTCAGAGCTTGAAATCAAGGCATGCTGAGATTGAATGAGTACATAGTAGTCAATTGGTGATATTCAAGTTAAACAATCAAGACAACTTTGAAGCTTCCTTGTCGTACTTGACTGCCTTGTAAATGCAATGTCTTCACTTTGAAATCCGCAATACATCTGGTTCCACCAACACAAGAACAAAGCCCTTCATTCAATGTTTCACATGCAAGTAAGGGGGAGAAACCGAGTTGGCATGAAAAAGAGTGGCATAGACGCTCATCTAAATTACGCTCTTCTAAAAACTATTTATTTGGGTATCGAGTTCATCAAAGACGCATAAGTCCACTCCTTCGTATCCCGTGATATGAATCAGACATTTCAGTTCATCCGGCGTCACAGATCGTATAACAAACACTTTTCGGTCTCATCAGCAGCATTATCCCTTCCCATTTGACAAAGAAATTCTTTTCCCTCAAGCCTCGGATGCGCCGTTGGTTGTGGCACTCTTCTCCTTGAGCTCCTTGACCTCGGCCTCGAGGGCCTGGACCTTCTCGAGAGCCTCCTTCTTCTCGCCCTGGATGGTCTTGACCTTCTCAAGGGCGTTGCTGAAGGCTGACTGTGCTGTCTTAGTCTTCTCCTCGGCGTCTGTCTTCTCCTTCTCCAGAGCAGCGGCCTTCTCCTCGGCGGCCTTCTTCTCAGCCTCCAGGGTCTTGGTCTTTTCATCTGCCTCCTTCTGTAGGGACTCAGCCTTGGCGACGGCATCGGCCTTCTCCTTCTCAAGAGCTTCAACCTTCTTAGCGGCCTCCTCAGAATTGGCGAACTTCTCCTTAAGCTCCTTGAGTTCGTCCTCAAGAGACTTGGTCTTATCGGCGGAAGACTTCTTCTCGGATTCGGTAGCAGCCTGAGCTTCCTCGAGCTGCTTCTTGAGAGCAGACTCGGAATCTTGAGCCTTCTTTGCGTCAGCCTCGAGAGCAGCAACCTTAGCCTCGGCCTCATCAGCCTTAGACTTCAGTGAGGCTTCGATTTCCTTGGCCTTAGCCTCGGACTCTTCGGCCTTGGACTTCAATGAAGCTTCAGACTCCTTGGCCTTGGCGGCATCGGACTCGAGGCTCTTGACCTTGTCCTCAGCCTCCTTGAGCTTGGCGTTCAAACCAGACTCAGACTCCTGGGAGTTCTTGGCGCTGGACTCAAGGTCGGCGATCTTGGCCTCAAGCTCCTTCTTTTCCTATGCAAATGTCAGTGCCTTGATAAGTATGTAATCATGGTGAGTACTTACAGCTTGGGAAGCCTTCAAGTCTTCCTCGGCCTTGGCAGCCTGGGCCTTGGCCTCCTCAATTTCCTTCTCGAGCTCGGCAAGCTTTGATGTCTTCTCGTTGAGCTGTTTCTCAACAGACTCGCGCTCCTCAGTGGCAGACTTGAGCTTAGCCTCAGTCTCCTCCTGCTTCTTCTGGATTGTCTCGTGGTCGCTGGTGACGGCCTTGAGCTTCTCAGCTTGCTCGTCACGTTCCTTCTTGAGGGCGTCATGCTCGTCGGTAGTAGACTTGAGCTTGGCCTCAAGGTCGGCAGTCTCCGTCTTGACCTTTTCCAATTCAGCA